GTTTTAGAGCAAGTAAGCTTACTAATAGTATTATTACAACATTACATGTGAGATACAAGCACTTAACTCTTATTATAATCTGACTAAAATTATATTATAAGTTATTTGTAACAATAGTTGATTGGTTATAATAGTCATAAAAGTAATACATTGTACTTGTAAGTTAATTACAATACTTCTAGTAAGATAATATGCAATTATATATATTAATATTGATAACAATCACTCTGTCAGACTTATAAAATAATTTGGTTTTACTTTTAAACAATATATCGAAGTGATTACATAATCGAGTACCGAAGATCGAGCGCATATAATGACGCACTTGCTCTCGTCACTCCTTTTCCTCCTACCTCCACCATCTCCCCAACCCTCTTCCCCCAATACTATGTTGTTGCTCTTGTTCTCTCTAGCCCAGTCCTCTGCCTACAAGCATCCTCCAGCAGGCACACTGCCTACAATAAACATCACTGTATTTGTCTCTCTAATCTGCCACTGCAATGCTTGTGCTGAACCTCAGATCCTGTGATGACACGACTGAGCTGGCTACACCGTCCTTCATTGTAAAGAGTAAGCAGCCAGTCCACTTCATAATAACTTGCACAATGGTTACTCACCCCTCTCCTCCCAACTTTTTGTCTCCCTTCCATCCCTCCCGCTCCTCGCTCCGCCGCTTGTGTTGCCTCTCCTTCGTTGTCCTCCTCTGTTTATGCTTGCCTTCCTTTTTGCATTCGCATTCGTGCGTCCGCATTGTTAACCAATGCTGAACGACTTCTTCAATGTTTCCATACATTCGTGTACTTCCTGCTCTGTAGTGCAAGCAACAGTCAACAAGTGTGCGCTTGCAACAATACCAACGTACGACCACTCCCATGGTACGACCCTCTCTTTGACAATGTACGTGCTCTCCTTCCCCACCCATTCCATACTTAACGTCACTCTCGACAGGTCCACCCCACGTGCATTTACATTCCTTAGTACAGTGGACAACACCATATTGAACAGAAGCAGTGGACCGCCACTTACCCCTCCTGAGCAGAGTCCGTCAATACATTCCACTTTGCCTTCTCTGTTCGAGCCAGTACGTCCCAGAGATCAATCCACAACAATGACTCAGTTCACTGCTCCTCCAATTGCACGTCACAGTCAGAATATGTAGCATATGCATACTGATACAGCTTTGTCTGCAGCCTGAATCAACTCATTCAATGCTCCGGATCTCAACCTACATACACCACTCACACTTGCTGCACGCTGTTACAGTATGTCCACCTTTTCTCTCCTATTGATACTTACTAACTACTCTAAACCTGTCTAACAGGTGCAGCCTCAACCTCCACAACCTGCTCGACCTCAACCCACACACACACACAATTTGACTCACAGGTCCCAAGCGACAGCCAAACGTGGTGACAAAGACTACATCAAACAGTCTAAGGATGCGTTCATCCTTTTCCGACACGAATTCTGCTCACGAAAGAACAAGGCAGAGGCTGCTAGTGGTGCAGGGGTCAGGACTGTAGAAATAATGTATCATTTATTATTTTGTATTAAATAATTAAATATAATTATATTTTATAAATTATTTGATAAAAAATTGTATCCAAAGCAAAAGGAAGTGATTCAAATGCTTGTAATGGCTTATAAGCATTATAAGTAGATATTATACTGTCACAAATTAATAAGTATGTCTTAACCTTGTAATCTTAGGAAGTATATTATAATCACTTGTATAACTTGACAATTTACACAATTATAATTGTAATTGCCAAGTTTTAAAAGTATTCTTGTTTACTTATTTAACATTGTACTATCATTGCTTAACCCCCTATGAAGATTATATTAACATTGACAAATTTTATAAAAGGTACAAAATGTATAGGATTACAAGTGAATACAATACTTAAGACTTTTTCGTGATGGTGTTGCAAGCTTGTGCAGCTCATCCAATCAGGCAGCTGTAACAAGTGCTTTACAGAGCCTGTGTCAGGGTGTTGGGACTACTATTCCAACAAATAAGGAATGAATACCACATAACAACTGCTGGAATTTGTTGGTAGTATGTAACTCACTCTAAAACAGTCATTCTTAGAATATGG